GTGCGGTGTGTAGTGTATAGTGCGGTGTGTAGTGTATAGTGCGGTGTGTAGTGTATAGTGCGGTGTGTAGTGTATAGTGCGGTGTATAGTAGTGTGTGGTGGAGTGTGTGGTGGAGTGTGTGGTGGAGTGTATTGTGTAGTGTATAGTACTGTAGTGTATAGTGTAGTGTATAGTAGTTTAGTAGTGTTGTATATTGCAGTGTATAGTCTAGTGTATTGTATACATATATTGTTTAGTTTAGTATATAGTGTAGTGTATAGTACAGTAGTGTATAGTGTAGTGTATAGAGTAGTGTGTAGTGTATAGTAGAGCAGTGTATAGTGTAGTGTATAGTAGTGTATAGTTTCGTGTATAGTGCAGTGTATAGTGTAGTGTATAGTGCAGTGTATAGTGTAGTGTATAGTGCAGTGTATAGTAGTTGTGAACTATTTTATCCTTTTTATTATTGTTGGTTGTTGTCGCTTTGCGGCCGCCTGCAGAGCCTTGTGCTGCAGGCGAACTACACGCGCGCGATGGTGGAGCTTCTCCTCTCCACGCTGGTGCCCCCACCGACGCTGTCCACTCGCTCCGGACGCGCCATCGTCCGCGAGCTCATCACCTGCAACGTCCTGCTGCCCACCCTCAACAGGTGCAGCGCCAATAACGACTTGGAAGGGGCCGGCCGCCGGGCCCGTCCGCCGCGTGCCGGCTGGCCCTGGCAAAGGTTTTCGTCGTCCTCTGCACAGGTTTTATCCCGTCCCCGGGGAAAAAAACCCGTGCGATTTGGGGTTTGCGTGTTCTCTCCGGAAGTAAAAGTGAAAGAGAGTCAAATACGTGCGGGGACTCACCCGCTTACGAGCATTCGACCTACGAACTTTGAGAGATACGAGCAAACCTGTCCCTATGTCCAGTTGCCTTCGGGGGCCGAGAGTCACAAGTTCAACCGCCGCGCATTAGATGGCGGTGGTGGCATCTACATCTGCAGAACGTGAAGGACCAGTGGCATCTATGTCTGCAGAACGTGAAGAACCAGTGGCAACTACATCTGCAGAACGTGAAGGACCAGTGGCATCTACGTCTGCAGAACGTGCAGAACCAGTGGCATCTATGTCTGCAGAACGTGAAGAACGAGTGGCATCTACGTCTGCAGAACATGAAGAACCAGTGGCATCTCCATCTACAGAACGTGAAGAACCAGTGGCATCTACATCTGCAGAACATGAAGAACCAGTGGCATCTACATCTGTAGAACGTGAAAAACCAGTGGCATCTACATCTGCAGAACACGAAGATCCAGTGGCATCTACATCTGCAGAACGTGAATAACCAGTGGCATCTACATCTGCAGAACGTGAAGAACCAGTGGCATCTACATCTGCAGAACGTGAAGAACCAGTGGCATCTACATCTGCAGAACGTGAAGAACCAGTGGCATCTCCGTCTGCAGAACGTGAAGGACTAGTGGCATCTAGGTCTGCAGAATGTGAAGAACCAGTGGCATCTACATCTGCAGAACGTGAAGAACCAGTGGCATCTACATCTGCAGAACGTGAAGAACCAGTGGCATCTACGTCTGCAGACTGTGAAGAACCAGTGGCATCTACGTCTGCAGAACGTGAAGAACCAGTGGCATCTAGATCTGCAGAACATGAAGAACCAGTGGCCTCTACATCTGCAGAACACGAAGATCCAGTGGCATCTACATCTGCAGAACGTGAATAACCAGTGGCATCTACATCTGCAGAACGTGAAGAACCAGTGGCATCTACATCTGCAGAACGTGAAGAACCAGTGGCATCTACATCTGCAGAACGTGAAGAAGCAGTGGCATCTACATCTACAGAACGTGAAGGACCAGTGGCATCTACATCTGCAGAACGTGAAGAACCAGTGGCATCTACATCTGCAGAACGTGAACAACCAGTGGCATCTACATCAGCAGAACATGAAGAACCAGTGGCATCTACATCTACAGAACGTGAAGAACCAGTGGCATCTACATCTGCAGAACGTGAAGAACCAGTGGCATCTACATCTGCAGAACACGAAGAACCAGTGGCATCTACATCTGCAGAACACGAAGAACCAGTGGCATCTACATCTGCAGAACGTGAAGAACCAGTGGCATCTACATCTGCAGAACGTGAAGAACCAGTGGCATCTACATCTGCAGAACGTGAAGAACCAGTGGCATCTCCATCTACAGAACGTGAAGAACCAGTGGCATCTACATCTGCAGAACACGAAGAACCAGTGGCATCTACATCTGCAGAACATGAAGATCCAGTGGCATCTACATCTGCAGAACGTGAAGAACCAGTGGCATCTACATCTGCAGAATGTGAAGAACCAGTGGCATCTACATCTGCAGAACATGAAGAACCAGTGGCATCTACATATGCAGAACGTGAAGAAGCAGTGGCATCTACATCTACAGAACGTGAAGGACCAGTGGCATCTACATCTGCAGAACGTGAAGAACCAGTGGCATCTACATCTGCAGAACGTGAAGAACCAGTGGCATCTACATCTACAGAACGTGAAGAACCAGTGGCATCTACATCTGCAGAACATGAAGAACCAGTGGCATCTACATCTGCAGAACACGAAGAACCAGTGGCATCTACATCTGCAGAACGTGAAGAACCAGAGTAACCGTTCATCTTGAGGGATAGATGTACATGTTTTAATTCACTGGTCAGGTGGTGTTGGTCAGAAATGCAATGAGCTCTATGGTATAATGTTTTGATGAGAGAATTCTTTTTAGCCAGGTGGTGGTGGGAATCAGGCTTCAAGTAGGAATCTGTGTGGGTGGACTTACTGTAAACAGAATTTCCCAAGGAGCCATCAGTCCTCCTCTCAAACAGAACATCCAAGAATGGTAGCTTGCCATCTTTCTCCACTGCCTTGGTGAATTTGATGGATGGGTTTCTGGAATTGATGTGGTCTAGGAATGAAGGGTGGATGTCTGGATGGCGTCTGATTCAAATTTCTCCATGAAAACATTGGCTGTCACTGGTGACAAGGGGAACCCATAGGGGTGCCCTCATTTTGTTTGTAGAAGGTACCATTCCAGGTATAGTAAGTGTTGGTGAGGCAGTGCCTAACCAGCGCAGGTACATCAGGGTTCAGTCCATGTTGGACCAAATCTTCAATTATTGTTATGGTATCAGGTACTGGGACCTTGGTGAATAGAGAGACCACATCAAAGCTGACGAGGATATCGTCAGGAGATAGTACAATGTCCTTGACCATAGAAACCAATTGGGTTGAGTTAAGTACTGCTGAGGTGGTCTTGCCAGTGAAGGGAAGCAGAGTATGCGACAGAAAACGGGCTAGCTTGTAGGTAGGGGAGTTGATCGTGGACACGATGGGTCGTGGTGGGGTACCTTCTTTGTGGATCTTGGGAAGACCACAGAGTCTGGGAGGTCTTGCAGCCGAGGGTTTTAGGGAGGGACGTTTGGTCGGTTCGATTATGGAAGTCGAACTAGTGATGACCTTGTTGGTTTTTATCGTTAGGCTGTTAGTAGGATCACTTTTAATTTTTGAGTAGGTCCTGGATTTTGTTGTTTTATGAGTTTTTGTCCATAATGACAGATTTCCAAAATTCCAAACAAACACAATATCCAGGTTCGGTTCAGTACAGTACACAAAATCCGTGATCTGATCCCATCCTTAAAGGATGCCATTCCTGACTTACAGTACCCCGGTGTTTACAAATTGAGTTGTACCTGCGGTGACTGCTATATCGGGGGAGACGAAACGACATGTCTCTGACCGAATTCGCGAACACAAATCAGATTTGAAACACGACAGAACGAATTCTTCGGCCGTAGGTAATCATTGTCTCAACACAGCGGGTTCCCATGACATTGTTTTCTCCGATACCAAAGTACTATGCAAACCTCCCGGTTATTACCGGAGATTTGTCCATGAAGCCATCCAGATTTACAAACGTAGACACAACTTCAACCGAGAAGATGGTTTTAAATTAATGCAACCGCTGGAAAGATGTCATAAACCAAGTCAAAACTTTAGCCGCGTTATAAGTGCACAGACTTCTTTGGTTCTTTCGGTAAAGTCACCACCACGTAGAATGAGAATAAAATAATAAATTGATAAAATAAAATAACGCAATAATATTCTCACGACGTTTCGGCCACAACACAAGCGGCCTTCATCAGGTGAAGGGACGAGACTGTCTGGAGGACAGACTGGAGGACAGATTGTTTCCCCTCTTTTTTCCCATTGCCCTTGTGCAGTGAACCACCGCATCCACCCGAACCCTCAGCATAACAAAAGACGGATTAACTTAGCCCCGCACCTCATCGTCATCCCCGGCCTGGCTCCTCCCACCCCCCCCCTCCCCTTAACCTGTATATAAGCTCGGGTGTCTCAGAGCCCCTCACTTGATGCAGCTATCTTGCTGTGACTGTTCCACCTGAAGACGGAAGCTTGTGTTGCCTCCGAAACGTCGTGATTAAATGAAGTTTTATTATTTTATTATATATATATATATTTAAATATATATTTATTTTTTACCTACGTGACTTTACCGAAAAAAAAAACAAAGAGTATGAATCCTTGCGGTTAACAAAAGCGTCAAATCTAGAATCCTATATATTTTCTTGTATTGAAAATGACCGCCATACGTTCGCAGGATGTCCGACCCGGACTGGATAAACCAGATGATCGTCATGTTGATGCATCACCCCCCGCCGGACGCCACGCCGGCCGGACCCCCGTCGCCGCCGGTGACCCCCGACGAAGGTCAACGGGAGCCCCCCGCCAGCACCGTCGTCGACGGCGACCTCCGCCACCGCCGCCACCACCACCACTCCGGCCGCCACGCCTCCCGTCGCTCCTCCATCAGCGTCATCGTGACCGACGAAAGCGACGGCGCCGCCGCCGCCGCCGCCGCCGCCGACGGCACCGACGGCACCGACGGCACCGACGGCCTGGAGCTCACCGATCCTCCGATGGGGGGGGGCGCCGGCGCCGGCCGCGGGGCCGCGCCGTAGCCGGGAGCGTGACCGAGCGACGGCCGCGGCGGCCGCGGCGTTTGCAACGGTCGCTACGGCGGCCGTGGCAACGGTTGACCCGGCGGCTTCGACCGCTCAGCAGCAGCAGCAGCAGCAGCAGCCGGAGAAGCTGCCGCTGAGCCGCTCGCGATCGGTGCCGTGCGAGATGACCGTCGGCGGCTCGCCCGCGCCGGGCGGCGGTGACGCCGGAGGGCCGGGCCGTGACCCCGGAGGGCCGGGCCGTGACCCCGGAGCGGCGCCGCTGGCGTTGACCTCGGCGTTGACCTCGGCGTTGACCTCGGCGTTGACCCCGCCGGGCGGCCGGCGGGAGGTGACGTTGGCATCGGCGGTGTCGCTGGAGGTGCAGGCGACCGAGCAGATGGTGGAAGAGGCGATCGACCCGGCGCGGCGCTGCAGGTAGGCAATCCGACGAGCTATGAAGCTCTTTTCGCGTGCACGCCTGCACTTACGTTGAACTTCTTTCGCGCCGTACGTAGCCAACCGCGCTGATTGGAGATGCGTGGTGGGGGTGGAGGGGGGGGGGGGGGGCAACCGATAATGTCCAGTAGGGGGCCCGGGTCAGAAAGTTTCGACGACAAGCAAAGATAAAAAAATATTCGAATAAAAACTCATAAATTGTTTTGTTTAGCTCACCAGGTAAAGCCCAGCTGAGGCCCACAAATGATGAGCCTGACAAAGTGGGATCATCATCATCATCATCACATGGAAATTCATAGCAGTGAAAATAATCAAAATTAAAATCTTAAATAATTCCGCCTGGCAGCACTTGCCCCAACAGCCTGCGCAGGCTACCCGGTGGGACGGTGGGTGGGTGGGGGCGGTACCTTTATCTTTGCCCGCGTCACATCCCCCCTGCAGCGCTGCAAGCGGATTGGACGAAGCGGAGGAGGCTGAATTCTTCTCTCTGGGAAGTGACGAGGAGTCACCAGGTAAGGGGCGGGGGGGGGGGTGGGCTAGTGGTGGGGGGCGGGGGGGGGGCGTCCCGGCTGAGACACCACCCCCCCCCCCCCCCCCCCCCCCCACGGTAACGACCAAAACCCGCGTCTACGACCGCCTAGCGACTTCTGCCGGCTGGCGTCTACGACCGCCTAGCATCAAGCGCTGCTTCGCTGCTCCGCCGTCAGCGTACGCACAGCGGAGCGTGGTGGTCTCCAGCTGCGCCGAGGGTGAACTCCCAGCGGCGGCGGCGGCGGCGGCGTCGGCGTCTCTTTCGCGAGGCCGTTGGCTTTGGTTTTGTGTAAATGAAAAAAACGAAAAGTTTTTCAAACGTCCGCCTTCCGCGACCCCTGCGGAGAGGAAGCGTTGATGCTGAAGGAATGTTCGTCCGGGGTTGTTTTCTGATTTAAAGCTTTCGTGACTGCAGGGATTCACATTCTCGGCGTATTCGGTAAAGTCACCACCACGTTAGAAGGGGAAACAGTAAAATAATGAAAGTATAAAACAATACAATTCTCACGACGTTTCGACTGTTTCCCTGCTACGTGACTTTACCGAAGGAACCAAGAATATCGGGTTATTTTAATTCATTTTCGCGGGCAATTTTGGTATTCACGGCACGTAAAGATGAGTTTCCAGGAACGGAACCCCGGTGTATAACATTGCGCCCTATGGGAAACAAGGGTTCGACTTACGACTTTTTAACACGTGGTAGGCTTGTGCGACCAAGATCGTCGGTAATGCGAGATTTGAACGTTGTCGTTAAACCCGCCACCACCCGACACGGCCAATTAGTGAGGTGTGGCACGTAAACAGAACGTGGCAATTGGTTACTAGTACACCACCAGTGTATAGTGTAGTATACTAGTACAGCACTAGTGTATAATGTGTATCGTGTAGTATATAGTGTAGTATATAGTGTAGTGTATAGTGTAGTATATAGTGTAGTGTATAGTGTAGTATACTAGTACAGCACTAGTGTATACTGTAGTGTATAGTGTAGTGTACAGTGTAGTATACTAGTATAGCACTAATGTGTAGTGTAGTGTATAGTGTAGTGTATAGTGTAGTATACTAGTACAGCACTAGTGTAGTGTATAGTGTAGTGTACAGTGTAGTATACTAGTATAGCACTAGTGTATAGTGTAGTGTATAGTGTAGTGTATAGTGTAGTATACTAGTACAGCACTAGTGTATAGTGTAGTGTATAGTGTAATGTACAGTGTAGTATACTAGTATAGCACTAATGTGTAGTGTAGTGTATAGTGTAGTGTATAGTGTAGTATACTAGTACAGCACTAGTGTAGTGTATAGTGTAGTGTACAGTGTAGTATACTAGTATAGCACTAGTGTATAGTGTAGTGTATAGTGTAGTGTATAGTGTAGTATACTAGTACAGCACTAGTGTATAGTGTAGTGTATAGTGCAGTGTATAGTGTAGTATACTAGTACAGCACTAGTGTATAGTGTAGTGTATAGTGTAGTATACTAGTACAGCACTAGTGTATACTGTAGTGTATAGTGTAGTGTATAGTGTAGTATACTAGTACAGCACTAGTGTATACTGTAGTGTATAGTGTAGTGTATAGTGTAGTATACTAGTACAGCACTAGTGTATACTGTAGTGTACAGTGTAGTATACTAGTACAGCACTAGTGTATAGTGTAGTGTATAGTGTAGTGTACAGTGTAGTATACTAGTATAGCACTAGTGTATAGTGTATAGTGTAGTATACTAGTACAGCACTAGTGTATACTGTAGTGTATAGTGTAGTGTATAGTGTAGTATACTAGTACAGCACTAGTGTATAGTGTAGTGTACAGTGTAGTATACTAGTACAGCACTAGTGTATAGTGTAGTGTATAGTGTAGTGTACAGTGTAGTATACTAGTATAGCACTAGTGTATAGTGTATAGTGTAGTATACTAGTACAGCACTAGTGTATACTGTAGTGTATAGTGTAGTGTATAGTGTAGTATACTAGTACAGCACTAGTGTATAGTGTATAGTGTAGTATACTAGTACAGCACTAGTGTATACTGTAGTGTATAGTGTAGTGTACAGTGTAGTATACTAGTATAGCACTAGTGTATAGTGTATAGTGTAGTATACTAGTACAGCACTAGTGTATACTGTAGTGTATAGTGTAGTGTATAGTGTAGTATACTAGTACAGCACTAGTGTATAGTGTATAGTGTAGTGTACTAGTACAGCACTAGTGTATACTGTAGTGTATAGTGTAGTGTATAGTGTAGTATACTAGTACAGCACTAGTGTATAGTGTATAGTGTAGTATACTAGTACAGCACTAGTGTATACTGTAGTGTATAGTGTAGTGTATAGTGTAGTATACTAGTACAGCACTAGTGTATAGTGTATAGTGTAGTATACTAGTACAGCACTAGTGTATACTGTAGTGTATAGTGTAGTGTATAGTGTAGTATACTAGTACAGCACTAGTGTATAGTGTATAGTGTAGTATACTAGTACAGCACTAGTGTATACTGTAGTGTATAGTGTAGTGTATAGTGTAGTATACTAGTACAGCACTAGTGTATAGTGTATAGTGTAGTATACTAGTACAGCACTAGTGTATACTGTAGTGTATAGTGTAGTGTATAGTGTAGTATACTAGTACAGCACTAGTGTATAGTGTATAGTGTAGTATACTAGTACAGCACTAGTGTATACTGTAGTGTATAGTGTAGTGTATAGTGTAGTATACTAGTACAGCACTAGTGTATAGTGTATAGTGTAGTATACTAGTACAGCACTAGTGTATACTGTAGTGTATAGTGTAGTGTATAGTGTAGTATACTAGTACAGCACTAGTGTATAGTGTATAGTGTAGTATACTAGTACAGCACTAGTGTATACTGTAGTGTATAGTGTAGTGTATAGTGTAGTATACTAGTACAGCACTAGTGTATAGTGTATAGTGTAGTATACTAGTACAGCACTAGTGTATACTGTATTGTATAGTGTAGTGTATAGTGTAGTATACTAGTACAGCACTAGTGTATAGTGTATAGTGTAGTATACTAGTACAGCACTAGTGTATACTGTAGTGTATAGTGTAGTGTATAGTGTAGTATACTAGTACAGCACTAGTGTATAGTGTAGTGTATAGTGTAGTGTATAGTGTAGTATACTAGTACACCACCAGTGTATAGTGTGTAGTGTAGTATATAGTGTAGTGTACTAGTACAGCACTAGTGTATAGTTTAGTGTATAGTGTAGTGTATAGTGTAGAGTATAGTGTAGTATACTAGTACAGCACTAGTGTATAGTGTAGTGTATAGTGTAGTGTACTAGTACACCACCAGTGTATAGTGTGTAGTGTAGTATATAGTGTAGTGTACTAGTACAGCACTAGTGTATAGTGTAGTGTATAGTGTAGTGTATAGTGTAGAGTATAGTGTAGTATACTAGTACAGCACTAGTGTATAGTGTAGTGTATAGTGTAGTATACTAGTACAGCACTAATGTATAGTGTAGTATACTAGTACAGCACACCAGTATGTTGGAGAGCCAAGCCACAACATTTACAATCTGAGCAGCCTTGATGATGCTTGTTGTGATTCCTGGCGAAGCGTCGCACAATGCACGTGTCAAAGTATTATTGATCGCTCGGGTCGAGCGGTTATATCTACGGGATACCTTTTTGGCCAGCGTCAAAATGATGAGAAAGAGCAGCAAGAACGGGTGTCGTACCGCTTTTCTGGCAACAAAACAGCGGAGGCCCAGCGGAAGCTGTCCATGGCCGGCAGCCCCGTCGACCCAGCTGCGCCGGATTCGACGATCCGGCACGCCCCCGACTCCCCGGCTCCCGTCGCCTCGGACCGACCGTCGTCCCGACCGGCCGCAGCCGCCGCCGCCGCCGCCGGCGATTCACCGCGAGAACCGACGGCGACGAACCGGCGCGGGATCTCGGGCGGCCCGCCGGCCCGCGCCCCGACCGTCCCGGCGTTGCCGCGTCCGCCCAGCCGCCCGCTCTTTTTCGGCGGCGCGGACGGGAGGAGCGACGCCGGCCCGGTGTCTCCCGAGACCCCGGCGCGGGGCGCGAGCAACCACGGCTTCTTCCGAGCCAGGCTCAGCCCGCTCACCGCCAAGAAGTTTGGCGCTTCGTGCTCCGATCAGCCGGCGTCCGCCGCCGCCGCCGCCTCTTCCTCCGCCTCTTGTTCTTCTGCGCCGTCCGCGGCGGCGGCCGCGGCGGCGGCGGCGGCGTCGGCGTCGGCGTCGTTTGGCGCTCACAAAGAGACCTCGAACATCTTTCACTTCGTCAGGTGGAAGAGTAGGAGTTGGAGCGATTTGGGATTTTCGGACGGACCGCCGCCGCCGCTTCCCAAGGCTCGGAGTCCGCCGGCCACGCCGGACGACGGCGCGGCGCCGGACGACAGAGCCCACGGTGCCGGTACGGCGGCGGCGCCGGCGCCGGCGGTTGAGCCCCTGCCAACCGGCGGCGCCCGTCTTTCGCCGGCGTCGCCCACGGCCCGCCGCGCCACTTGCGCCCTGGGGGCGCACGTGGCGGACGCCGCGGTGGGCGCTCCGCCGCCTTCCTCGGCGGGCGGCGGCGGCGGCGGCGGCGGTGCCGTCCCGGCGGCGCCGTGCGAAGCCCCGCACCTACCGGCGACGACCCTGCCCCCCTCGCCGCCCGAGGCGCTGGAGACGATCCGGAACCTGCGCATCGTGGGCACGCTGACGGCGCGGGAGCACCGGGGCACCGGTTCACACCCCTACACCCTGTACACCATCAAGGTGAGCCGGCGGCGGTGGTGGTGGAGGTGGCGGTGGTGGTGGAGGTGGTGGAGGTGGCGGTGGTGGAGGTGGTGGAGGTGGCGGTGGTGGAGGTGGTGGTGGTGGTGGTGGTGGTGGCGGTGGTGGTGGTGGTGGTGGTGGAGGTGGCGGTGGTGGAGGTGGTGGAGGTGGCGGCGGTGGTGGCGGCGGTGGTGGCGGTGGTGGTGGACGTGCCGGCGCGGCGGACTGAGCGGTCGATTCAACCGAGTCGCTCGCTTCACCGGCAGCCGGTTGCCCGCTTGTCTTGCCATCGGTGACAAATGTCGTGCATGCATCGCCCCCGGTGACTCGGAGATGTTGACTACCTCGCCTGGTGTGCAGGAGGCCGTGGGTTCGATCCCGACCCTGACGTCTGCTGCTGCATATTTGGAGTTTGCGTGTCTCTCTCGCATCATCATGATCACGGTGGCTATGAGATGTTGACTACCTCGCCCCGTGTACAGGAGGTCGTGGGTTCGATCCCGACCCTGACGACGCCTGCTTCTGTATATTTGTAGTTTGCGTGTCTCTCTCTCTCTCATCATCATCACGGTGGCTAGGAGATGTTAACTACCTCGCCTGGTGTGCAGGAGGCCGTGGGTTCGATCCCGACCCTGACGATGCCTGCTGCTGCATATGTGGAGTTTGCGGTGTCTCTCTCTCTCTCATCATCATCACCACGGTGGCTATGAGATGTTAACTAGCTCGCCTGGTGTACAGGAGGTCGTGGGTTCGATCCCCGGCCCTGACAACGCCTGCTGCTGCTGTATATTTGCGTGTCTCTCTGACCACGGTCGATTTTTTTTTTTTTTCCCTCCGAGTTCTCCATGATTCCCCCTCCCCATTTAGGATGGACGTCACGCCTTACGAGTGTGTGTGGCTGCTGCCGTGAATTTCCACGTCACGGTGATGGCGACGATGAGGCCCTCTCCGTTGAGCTATCGTGCGTGGTAGCCAGGTCGCTTGTGCAAAAAGAGATACTTCGCTCAGTGAGCCTTGGCTAATAAGAACTGCTTTTTTGCGTTTGGTTGTGTTGTCGCTCACCCTGCACCTCCGATGACCTGCGTAGGGTGCGAAAGAAGTTCAACATTCGTACACACAAACCGTCTGGAATGCTCTTCGCTTCCGTTATTAGTGAAGCGACTTGGAGCTGTGCCACTTTGAAACAATCGTCTACATTGACGATCTCGTTTCTTTAGAACTGCTTTGTGTGTGTTTAGTTTGTTGTGCTTCCCTCCACGCCTCCGATTAGCACGGTCGGCTACGCACGGTGCGAAAGATGTTCAACGTACAAAGTGTAGTGTATAGTGTAGTGTATGGTAGTGTAGTGTATGTTAGTGTAGTGTATAGTGTAGTGTATAGTAGTGTAGTGTATAGTAGTGTAGTGTGTAGTGTATAGTGTAGTGTGTAGTGTATAGTAGTGTATCGTGCAGTGTATAGAGTGTAGTGTAGTGTATAGAGTGTAGTGTGTAGTGTATAGTGTAGTGTATAGTAGTGTGGAGTGTATAGTGTTGTGTATAGTGTAGTGTATAGTAGTGTATAGTAGTGTAGTGTATTGTAGCGTAGTGTATAGTAGTGTATAGTGTAGTATATAGTCTAGTGTATAGTGTAGTGTATAGAGTGTAGTGTGTAGTGGGTAGTGTAGTGTATAGTAGTGTAGTGTATAGTAGTGTAGTGTGTAGTGTATAGTAGTGTAGTGGTGTAGTGTATAGTGTAGTGTATAGAGTGTAGTTGTGTATTGTGTGTCCAGTTGTCCGTCCCTCCACGCCTCGGATTAGCACGGCCGGCTACGTACGCACGGTGCGAAAGAAGTTCACCGTCCGTGCGCTCCATCCCTGGGCAAAATCTCAGATTTAAAAAGCGGGGCGGCTTGCACGGTAAAAAAAAATATAATAATCATGAAAAATAACGATTCCCAATTCGTGCGAATTATTCATACGAGTAGAATAATAGAATAATAATTCTACGAATAAGAATAATAGTTCGTGGGGGGGAGCGTCGGGTTGGAGGGTGGAGGGCGGTGAAGGAATGCTTTTAATCGGCTTGTCGATTAGCCGGAGCGTGGCGTTACAGGCGGCGTGACCTGCATTTGCACCACCACCCGCCTTCCCCGCTTTGCCGTCGCTCGCGCTGAATCGCAATCCCACAAGCAGCACACATTAATGGGCTCGTGACGAGGGGCTCTACGGGCGTCGTGGCGCGGATATCCCCGGTGGTCACCCTCCCAGGGGCGGCGACGGAGGCGACTGCTGTTAGGCTCGGCCGTCGAACAAGGACGGTGGTGGTCATCGCGTCGTCACGCTGGCAGATGCTGTATACACTACACTATACACTACACTATACACTACACTATACACTACACTATACACTACACTATACACTACACTATACACTACACTATACACTACACTATACACTACACTATACACTACACTATACACTACACTATACGCTACACTATACACTATACATTACACTATACACTACACTATACACTACACTATACACTATACATTACAGTATACACTACACTACACTATACACTACACTACACACTACACTACACACTATACTATACACTACACTACACACTATACACTACACACTACACTACACACTACACTATTCACTACACTACTGTACACTACACTACTATACACTACACTATACACTACACTATACACTACTATACACTACACTACTATACACTACACTACTATACACTACACTACTATACACTACACTACTATACACTAGACTACACACTACACTATACACTACACTATACACTACTATACACTATACTATAAACTATACTATACACTACACTATACTATATACTATACACTACACTATACACTACACTATACACTACTCTATACACTACACTATACATTACAGTATACACTACACTACACTATACACTACACTACACACTACACTACACACTATACTATACACTACACTACACACTATACACTACACACTACACTACACACTACACTATTCACTACACTACTGTACACTACACTACTATACACTACACTATACACTACACTATACACTACTATACACTACACTACTATACACTACACTACTATACACTACACTACTATACACTACACTACTATACACTAGACTACACACTACACTATACACTACACTATACACTACTATACACTATACTATAAACTATACTATACACTACACTATACTATATACTATACACTACACTATACACTACACTATACACTACTCTATACACTACACTATACACTACACATTAGAGTATACACTACACTACACACTGCACTATACACTACACACTACACTACACTATACACTACACTATACATTACTATACACTACTATACACTATACTATACACTACTATACTATATACTATACACTATACTATACACTACACGATACACTATACTATACACTACACACTGCACACTACACTACACACTACACTGTACACTGAACTGTACACTAAACTATACTATACACTACTATACACTACACTATACACTACATTATACACCACTATACACTACACTATACACTTCACTGTACACTACACTATACACTACACTATACACTTCACTGTACACTACACTGTACACTACACTATACACTTCACTGTACACTACACTATACACTACTATACACTACACTATACACTACACTATACACTACTATACACTACACTATACACGACACTATACACTACACTACACACTACATTATACATTACTATACACTACACTATACACTACACTATTATCCACTACACTACTATACACTACACTATACACTACCCTATACACTACACTATACACTGCCCTATACACTACACTATACACTACTATACACTACACTATACACTACACTGTGCACTACACTATACACTACACTATACACTACACTATACACTACACTATACACTACACTATACACTACTATACTATATACTATACACTATACTATACACTACACGATACACTATACTATACACTACACACTGCACACTACACTACACACTACACTGTACACTACACTGTACACTGAACTGTACACTAAACTATACTATACACTACTATACACTACACTATACACTACATTATACACCACTATACACTACACTATACACTTCACTGTACACTACACTATACACTACACTATACACTTCACTGTACACTACACTGTAAACTACACTATACACTTCACTGTACACTACACTATACACTACTATACACTACACTATACACTACACTATACACTACTATACACTACACTATACACGACACTATACACTACACTACACACTACATTATACATTACTATACACTACACTATACACTACACTATTATCCACTACACTACTATACACTACACTATACACTACCCTATACACTACACTATACACTACACTATACACTACACTATACACTACTATACACTACACTATACACTACACTGTGCACTACACTATACACTACACTATACACTACACTATACACTACACTATACACTACACTATACACTACTATACACTACACTATACACTACACTGTGCACTACACTATACACTACACTATACACTACACTATACACTACACTATGCACTACACTATACACTACACTATGCACTAAAGTATACACTACTATACACTACACTATGCACTACACTATTCACTACACTATACACTACTATACACTACACTATACACTACACTATACACTACTATGCACTACACTGTGCACTACACTATGCACTACACTATGCACTACACTGTACACTACACTATACACTTCACTGTACACTACACTATACACTACACTACTATGCACTACACTATGCACTACACTATGCACTACACTATGCACTACACTATGCACTACACTGTACACTACACTATACACTTCACTGTACGCTACACTATACACTACACTATACACTACACTATACACTACTATACACTACACTATACACGACACTATACACTACACTACACACTACATTATACATTACTATACACTACACTATACACTACACTATTATCCACTACACTACACTATACACTACACTATACACTACACTATACACTACCCTATACACTACACTATACACTGCCCTATACACTACACTATACACTACACTATACACTACACTATGTACTACTATACACTACACTATACACTACACTGTGCACTACACTATACACTACACTATACACTACACTATACACTACACTATACACTACACTATGCACTAAAGTATACACTACTATACACTACACTATGCACTACACTATTCACTACACTATACACTACTATACACTACACTATACACTACACTATGCACTACACTATGCACTACACTATGCACTACACTATGCACTAAACTATGCATTACACTATACACTACACTATGCACTACACTATGCACTACACTATGCACTACACTATGCATTACACTGTGCACTACACTGTGCACTACACTATGCACTACACTACACTATACACCCTCCACCACCCGACACGGCCAATCAGCAAAAAAAGTGTCACGTTAACAAAAGACAATTAATTGCACCTGATATGAGTTAAATGATGACGTCACCCTGCTGCTCTATTTAAGACCGGGAGCAAGTGGAGAGGGCTTTACCATTCTGGCGAATTGCCCGATGATGCTGGATGTAATTACCAGCGAAACGTCGTTCTACTCAAACTGTAAATGTTGTGTGGATTCACTCTTCAACACATCGGTGGGCTAAAGTAGTGAATTATTTGTCTTTTGTCAACGTGACACTTTTTTTGCTGATTGGCCGTGTCGGGTGGTGGAGGGTTACGACACATTTATAAATAACGCGATCTAACCCAAAAACATTTATTATGAACTATACACTACACTATACACTACTATACACTACACTATACACTACACTATACACTACACTATACACTACTATACACTACACTATGCACTACACTATGCAATACACTATACTATGCACTACACTATACTATACACTACACTATACACTACACTATACACTACTATATACTACACTATACACTTCACTATACACTTCACTATACACTACACTATACACAACACTATACACTACACTATACACTACACTATACACTACTTTACACCACACTATACCCTACTATACTCTACACTATACCCTACTATACTCTACACTATACACTACTATACACTACACTCTACACTACACTACTATACACTACACTCTACACTACTTTACACCACACTATACCCTACTATACACTACTATACACTACACTATACACTACACTATACACTACACTATACCCTACTATACACTACTATACACTACACTATGCACTCCACTATACACTACTATACACTACACTATACACTACACTATACACTACTATACACTACACTATACACTACACTACTATACACTACACTCTACACTACTTTACACCACACTATACCCTACTATACTATACACTATACCCTACACTATACACTACACTATACACTACACTATACACTACACTACACACTTCACTTTTTGCTCGGCCATCGAACAAAGACGGTGGTGGTCACCGCCTCATCGTCGGGCGGCACTTTCACATGTGGCTTCTGCGGCCGTCTGGAACGCTCTCCCCTTCCGATTTTAGGGAGCCGCTGCAAGCTACGAACTTTCAAATCGTCCTCACCTAGATTGGACGAACTCATTTCTTCGACGCTACTTTTTCCGCGTCTAGTTTGCTGTCTTTACCCCCCCCCCCTCCCATCGCTCTTCCGATTAGCACGGTTGGTTACATACGGTCAGAATAATTGTTGATCATCATGTTGATGATGTTGTTGCCGGCAATGACATTGTTACTTGTGTGTGTGTGTGTGTGCGCGTGTGTGTCTTTGTGGAGCGGGAGCGGTAGCGCTCAGCGCTACCGCTCCCGCTCCGAACCCGGCTCACGGCCAAACACCACCGGTGCCGATCATCAGAATCAGCCCTGGGCCTCCCCCTCTAGGTCACGGAGATCGCACTCGGCTGGTTGGTGGTGGTGTAGTGGTGGTGGTAGTGGTGGTAAAATTGTGGGGAGCGGTGGTGTAGCGGTTAGCGCGCTGCACTCCTCCTGAGCCAACGCCCGGTGGCGATTATGCCGGAACCGGGCCTCCCCCTAGGATCGACTCGGCCTCGAATGAGCGCCCGGTGCGGCGCGTAGTGAACGTCGCCACCGCGGAGACCAAGGCGGGCCGGCGTGGTGCCGGCCAGCCCCCCGGCCCACTCGTTCGCCGCGCCGGCCTTCGAGGGCGCTCGCCGCCAGGCGTAAACTTTTCCCCGACGACGGATCGTGCTAACGGGCCGCGCGGGGGGAACCCATTTGCTGTGTCTGCGCAAGTACGAGACGGTGTCGGGCGAGGCGGAGTGCGGCGGCGAGCGGCGCGACGGGCACGTGGCGTTCCACACGGTGAGCCGCCGCTACAGCGAGTTCCTCTCGCTGCAGACGCGCCTTGAGGAGCGGCCCACGCTGCGGCGGCAGCTCAAGCGTGCGTACCGCCCCCGCACGCCACGCTCGCTCAAACGCTCATCCACACGCTCGCTCAAACGCCCGACCGCGCGCCCGCACATCCACACGCTCATTCCACGCGCCCGCTCATCCACACGCTCGCTCAAACGCTCATCCACACGCCCGCTCATCCACACGCTCGCTCATCCACACGCTCGCTCAAACGCTCATCCACACGCCCGCTCATCCACACGCTCGCTCATCCACACGCTCGCTCAAACGCTCATCCACACGCTCGCTCATCCACACGCTCGCTCAAACGCTCATCCACACGCTCGCTCATCCACACGCTCGCTCAAACGCTCATCCACACGCCCGCTCATCCACACGCTCGCTCATCCACACGCTCGCTCAAACGCTCATCCACACGCTCGCGCATCCACACGCTCGCTCAAACGCTCATCCACACGCCCGCCTCATCCACGCGCCTCGCTCAACCACTCGCTCATCCACACCTCGCTCAACCACACGCTTGCTCATCCATGCGCTCGCTCAACCACGTCGCTCAACCACGCGCGTCGCTCAACCACACGCTCGCTCATCCACGTGCTCGCTTATCCACACTTTCAACCACGCGCTCAGCTCATCCACGTGCTCGCTCATCCACACGCTCGCTCAACCACGCGCTCGCTCATCCACGTGCTCGCTTATCCACACGCTCAACCACGCGCTCACTCATCCACGTGCTCGCTCATCCACACGCTCGCTCAACCGCTCGACCGTACGCTCGCTCATCCACGCGCTCAACCACTCAACCACACACCCACTCAACCACTCGCTCGCTCGACCACTCAACCACACACTCACTCAACCACTCGCTCGCTCAACCACTCAACCACACACTCGCTCAACCACACGCACCGAACCGCTCACTCAACCGCACGCTCAGCCAACGCTCGCTCAACAACTCATCTAGAACGCTCGCTCACCACACCCACCGAACCGCTCGCTCGACCGCACGCTCACTCAACAACTCACCCAGACACTCGCTCAACCGCACGCACCCTCATCCACACACTCGCTCAACCGCTCACTCGCTCGCTCAAACGCTCGCTCGCTCAACCTCTCAAACGCTCGCTCAAACACTCAACCACACACTCGCTCAACCGCTCAACCATACATGCAACCACACACCCGCTCAACCACTCGCCCACACACTCGCTCAACCACTCGCTCGCTCAACCACTCGCCCACACGCTCGCTCAACCACTCGCACGCTCAAACACTCATCCACACGCTCGCTCAACCACTCGTTCGCTCTTCCACTAAACCACACGCTCGCTCAACCACTCGCCCACACGCTCGCTCAACCACTCGCCCACACGCTCGCTCAACCACTAAACCACACGCTCGCTCAACCACTCGCCCACACGCTCGCTCAACCACTCGCACGCTCAAACACTTATCCACACGCTCGCTCAACCACTCGCTCGCTCTTCCACTAAACCACACGCTCGCTCAACCACTCGCTCGCTCAACCACTAAACCACATGCTCGCTCAACCACTCGCCCACACGCTTGCTCAACCACTCGCTCGCTCAACCACTAAACCACACGCTCGCTCAACCACTCGCTCGCTCAACCACTAAACCACTCGCTCGCTCAACCACTCGCCCACACGCTCGCTCACACGCACACGCATCCAACCCAACCGCACACTCTCGCCCAAACCACCGCCGTCGAGAAGGCGGTGGTGGTTCTGCGTGAGCTTGCGTGCGAGCCCGGCGATCCGACGGCGATTTCCACCCCCCGCGGCCTCCCAACGCCGGCCTGCGATTAAAATCCGAGCAGGCGCCTTAAGCGGACGGCGCCTGCCGGGTGGGGAGACGGAGGGCGGCCGGGCGCGGCGCTCTGCCCGCCCCGCCCGCCCGCCCGCCACGTGCCGAGGCTGTCCTTGGTAGGCGCTGCTCGCTAA